GGGGTCCCGGCTCGCGGAGAACATGGCCTGGCGTCCCGGGGGCTCCGCTCCCCTCCAGGGTGAGCGGTCACTCCGCGTTTGCCGTCTGCTTACCGGCGCTGGGCTGCTGCACCATCGCGCCCCTGCGTTCGTAAAGTTGGAAATTGACGAGCTTGGCTGAGGTCCGGCCGTTCCCGGCGTCTCCGGCTGTCCGAGTAGTTCGGTGGAAAAGTTGGGAAAGGATGGGGTGTTAGAAAACGGCCCTACGGCCGACACCACCTGTGGCGAGGCGGCTGCAGGGAGGCTGCGGTCTCTTGGCCGAGTGTTTACCGGGCTTACGCTGCAAAGTTTCACCAAGTGCAGGCGGGTCTCCAGTCATTGTTCTTTCCTGGGTGGCAGGCTGCGTCTTTTTTTCTTTTTTGCAGTGGTGGTCGGTGCTAAAACTAAGTAGACGTTAGCCGTGTGATGACAAGAGTTTGCAGTTTGGGGATAGTGACCCTGGGAAATCAAGCATCCGATTCTGTTATTTGTGGGGCCCCAAGGTGAAACGGCTTTGTTTCCACACTGAATGTGGAAAAGTCTGGGTGGGCTTCATGAAACGCTGAGCTAGCGAGTTTGTAACTTAGGAGCATGCTTGAGAATACTACAGGGCATCTTAGGTGTATTCTTTAAAGGAGAACCTTTCTGTTAAGGAGTTTCATAAGACGCGTACACTTTCATTTTTAGGATATTCAGTAAAATGGACTTTTAAAAGATTATATTAGTGACATGTCTATTATTTCTTAGTGTAAAATCTAAATGGTTTGCATGCTGGTTTCACTACCTCACCGCTACTTTTCTCTTTTAAAGGTATTTCCTATGAAATAATATACATGTATTGTTTTTTAATTGGGCAGGGCAGTCTTGAAAAGATGTGAAACCTAATTTACCCAAGTTCGCTTCACTTTCGGGTTTTTTTTTTTTTTTACAGTCGAGTTTGCTCGACTCAAGAATAATAGTTTGTTTTGAAAGTAAATTCCTTCTTCGGAAAGTAAGTTCATTTTCTAGTAAAGGGGCAATTAAAAAGTATCAGATGGCTTTATCTTTAAAATGCCTTTTTGAGCTTAGCATAGCCTTATGATATTTTTTAAAGGACTGGAGATTTCTAGGCTGGCATTTCTTGAGGAACTTCAGTTTTGTTTTCAGTTTTGGAAATTAGTCATTTTTTAATTCTTAATGGAAGACCATGTACTACTAATCTGTTCCCTTTTAGGGAAGCAAATGCTGATATTTTACTAAACAGACAGTTCTTTACTTTTTCTACAAATAGTATCTGAAAGAACAGTGCAGTAGATACCGTTAAACAAACAACCTTTTGATGTGACAAATGATCCATAAACACATAGCTCATTTGAGGTGTTTTTCTTTTTTCTGCCAAAGTTCTGCTACCCCCCCCCCTCCCAACCCCCAACTGGCAGATTTCCAATATTTTACTTATGGAGGAATTTGAAGACAGAAGCATCGCTATTTATTTCTAATAAACAGGAATTATTTCTAAAATTCTGGTAATTTCTCTGCCAAAGACAATTTAACTGGTAAGAGAAAATATATTTAATTGAAAGAAAAGCATCAATTATTTTGAACACTTACAAAACTGCTATACTGTGAAGGAAGAATAAAAAAACTCTCAAAAAGTTAATAAAATCAGCATTGCTGAGTGTTAATGTCCTACAAACTGTTTTGGAATGGTTTAATTATTCCTCATCACCACTTGATGAAATGATGGTTGTTCTCTCAAGGTCAGATAATCCCTGGTACAGAAGGATGGAACATCCTTGTTTTAGCCCAATCTGAGCTCTTTGTTTAGCTGTGGGTTTTGAATTTGTGTGTCTTCCGTATAAAAAAACATCACGCTGGTCATCAGAAGGATGGACGAACTTGCACTGAGCAGTAGGAGGGACGACTTTGTACTTGGCATCTATTTACACTCTTGAACTTTTTGTGACCATGGATGCTTATTTAGAACACAGGCCAAATTTGGAACTCACATAAGCCAGTTGTCCTGCAGGGACATTGACTAGGTAGCCCTGATCAAGACTTGATTTTTCTAACTACTGTGTATTGTTTGTATTTACTTCACAAATACTTTTATTTGGCAAATGCCAGGTATAATTTTGAATTCAACAGATGAGATACCTGATCTTATGAAACCTAAGTTTTAGTGGTGAAGGTGGACAAGAGAGACCATAAACAAATAAAAAGATATTTTCAAATAGTGATGCTACAGTAAGAATGAAACATGAGAATGGAAATAGTGATAGAAGCCGAAGATAGATCTAAGAGGTGACATTTCTGGTGAGACTTGAGTGATGAGAGCATCAGTTATTTGAAGGTCTGAAAGAGCAAATGGTGAGGCCCAAAGGTGGCATCGATCTGTTTGAGGAATGGGCAGAAAGCTCACGTGACTAGGTCCAGTAGTGAGAAGGTGAATGGCAGAGAAGACTGAGGTAGAGGAAATGGGAGGGCACAAATGTTGAGTTTTGGAGGCTGCTTTAAAGATTCTATTCCCAGTTAAACAAAAGCCACTGGATGATTTTCAGCTGAGGAATGATGTGATATTATTATATTTTAAAAAGATTTCATTGAGTCTTAATTATCAATCTTAAAATACACTTATAACACTAAAGGGAGAAATTCTATCAAGTAAGCTGTGATGTGTCATTGGCTTTAATAAGCATTTCCATTTCAAAGATGTCAAAATATTAAAAAGTATGTACCCTGTGTCCGGGTTAGAAATTTACTGTATCCTATCCCCCAGACAGAATTTTAAGCCTTAGTAACCTACAACCTAGGCATTCAGTGATAAGGGTAAATAATTTTGATAGTTTCCCCAAAACTGTGACTTATTTGTGTTTTGTTTTCATTACTTAGTATTTCTAGGGTCATAACCATATGCAATATATATGTATCAAATGTTTTATTGGGGGGAATGGTGATGGGTAGCTCTTACTATCCTTATCCATCTTTCTTGGCAGTTCTGATACCCGGTTTGCAATTACATTGAACAACAAGGATGCCCTCACTGGAGATGAAGAAACCCTGGCTTCATATGGGATTGTTTCTGGGGACTTGATATGTTTGATTCTTGAAGATGCCATTGCAGCACCTAACTTACCTTCATCCACAGATTCAGAGCATTCCTCACTCCAGAATAATGAGCAACCCTCTTTGGCTGCCAGCTCCAGTCAGCCCAGCACACAGAATGAACTACTGAGTGATTCATTCCCAGAACAGGCAGCCCAGTCCGATGTCTGGAATGATGACAGTATGGTAAGTATCGAGAAGAAATAGGGTGGATCATAAATCATACAAACACTTGGACTGAATTTTCTGTCAGTCGGGATAATTGTCGTTAGTAGATTGCAGGTTATATTCTATAAAGTTTATTAAACTGCTAAATACTGGGCTTGCATTTCCATTTCAAAGATGCCAAAATATTAAAAAGTATGATCCTGTGTCCTGGTTAGAGATTTACTGTATCCTACCCCCAGACTAGAATTTTAAACCTTAGTAATCTACAACCGAGGCAGACATCTACTCTTCAGATATCAATAAATTTTCCCTGGGCTTATGTTGTTGCCTCTAAGCTCATGAGCTTTGAGTCTCTGTCTACTCTGCTAAGGCTATCTATATCGTTCCATTATTTCCAAATGATTTAGAGTACATTTACACCTGGATTTTGAAAGTTGTTACCTCAGATTACATCTGCCAACATCAATTTGAAAGTGAGTGTGATGCTGACCTCTTCCTCCCAGTCAGCTGCCCTCGCTGACGGTCAGTGGCACTGCTGTTTTCCTGTATTAAAACTTACTTGGAATGATTTTTGACTCTATCCAACCTAACAAGCCCTGTTTTTTCCTTCCATTCCAGGCTTTTCAGAGTCTGTTCTGCAGTGTACTTTCTAGGTTCATATTTTTGGTAATGTTATTACCTTTCTCTTTAGTAACTGTGTCATAGATACAGCTGTGCTCACAATATTTGAATGAAAAAGACCAAATATCTGTAGTTCAACTTGTCCTGTCACAGAAGAAGAAAAGGCTGCCTGTCCTGCTATTCCTGGTTTTTACGGCTTTCAGAAAAGTCGCCCCACCCACCCTTCCCAGGGCAGGTTTCTGTTCTGCCCTCCTGTAAACTGTCATCTCCAGTCAGACGAGTCGCCCGCTCGGTTTCCCTTCACCAGCCAGTGGCACGTACACAGGCGCCCAGCCGCCCCTCCAGTCTCCATTCCTCCCTGGCCCTCCCCAAGCCCTGTCAGCCAGAGCCCAGTAACCTGTTATTTCTTTGTATTTATTCTTTATTGCCATGTAAACATCTCAGTATTATTCTGCTTTTTAATTTGTTGGATAGCACAATTACTTAATTTTTTATTACTGATACATATGCTGTTTGGTTGATTGTGTTGTATGTTTATACTTACCACCCCGACTTAACTTCTTTTTATAAGCTTTGTTCCCTTTATGGCATTAAATATACATGGATAATGGAAAATAAACAGGTTTTGGTTTAACATCTCTGTTTCAACAGATTGGTAAATTATGAAAAATATTTATGTTCAGATTTTAAGTAATAGTGTCTGGAAATATTATAAACGTTATTATATGAGAATTATTAGAAATGATTTTTATAAAGTTCAAAGTATTTTTATGACTTTTTTCTTTTTGCAAATTATTATGGATGTCTGTGCTCCTGTCTTATAGAGGTAGTCGGGGGAATGAGTAAGAATACTTAGTCATGTATTTAAATTACATTCCCGAATCTCTTTTTCCTAATATCTCATTCAGAAATTCTGGTAGAAGGGCCCATTCTTTTATTTTGTTAAAATTGTCCCATAAGATAGAACTTTTCCTAGGATATGTGAATTACTATATTAGTTTCTCTTTGGAAAATTTTGAGAAATTAACATTGCCTAAAGTTACTAATTTCAGTTCTAAAATCATATTTTGTTTTCTAAGACTTGTATAGGGTGACTGTAAAATCCAAGAATGGAAACTGAGCTTACCATCTCATAAATAATGCCTTAAACACTGAAGCAGTGTGATCTGCCGAAGGCTTACAGACTGCAGTAGGAGAGAAAGCTGGACAGGACAAATGGAAAGTAGTACGCCAGTTTGCTCTCGTATCCAAGCGCAAATTAATTTTCTTATTTCATCCTGTTGGGGATTCGCTAACATTTGTTGAGTCTTTAGTGGGGTGTAGGGGTAACATGGCATCATATCCTAACATTAGCTCTAAACTGCTTTTTAGTTATTTGTTCCAGTCTTAACAAATGACAGATGAACTGGTCAGAGAGGTGGTGCTGAACTTTCCTCCCCCATTTTCACTTGTGTGAAGAGTATGATAAATATTTGTGTCTTATCAGAATGGCTCAGAAATGTCAGTGGTTCTCATGGAGGGGGAGTAAGTTTTGACCAGCTCCCCAGGGGATTCTGGTACCTCCCTCATATAATCAATTTGGGGTAACCCTTGAAGATATTTTTTCTACATATATTCATGCTTCCCCATACAACTGTCATTAAGCAGTAAATGCCCACAAGAAACAAAGAGCCTATGTGTTTCATAGTTTTGCTAGGTACTAAGTGGTTTTTCAATATAGTAGTTTCTATTTACTCAAAAATATGAGGAAACCTCCTTTTCAGACACTAAATTGCCAGTGGCTTCTAGGTTTTAACAAGTGAATTAGGAGGTGTTCCATAACCCATCCTGGGTTAGGTCCTGGGATTTTGGAAGAATAGCTTCTTGTCCTTTTATATCTTCCACCTCTCACTCATACTACATGCTTTTAACTTCTTCTACCCCTTATTTAATGGAAATGTGAATTTAAAAAGAAACATGTCCTTTGCATTGAGAGTTGAACACATGCCTAGGCAGCAAACTTTCTGAGAAAAATTAATATAGGTAATTTAGTTTTACTGAAGCATTGTATTATGTCTCAAAGTCCTGAACTGTGAGTCTGGAGATCTGGGGTTATTTCAAAATTACCTGACAATCTGGATTGTGTTATTTAATCAGTGTCATTTAAGTATGAATAAAAAGAATATATACATAAACACATCTTTTGTTTTGCCCATTTATAGATTTAGTATATAGTGTAAATGAGAAATTACCAAAAACAAAAACATTATGAAATGATGAGATATTGTCTGTCAGTATTTGTTCAGGTATTTATGTTCCTACTATTGCCAGGGACTGTATTTGGGTCACAAAAAATGGATAGCCTGTACTCTTCTTTGTAAGCTTGAGGTCATGGTAGGATGTAGATGTGTAATCAGAAAATCGCAGTAGTGTAATAAATCACAGCAATCAAAGCCTTTACAGAGCGGAGGTCTGCGTTGCCTGTCACAGGGTGGAGAATACTGGCGTAGGCAGGAGGCACTGGCAGAAGTGTACGTGATACTGTGTCTGAGATCAGGTAATAAAGGGGACGGAATGCTCAGGAGGGCAGGAGCTTGGGCTTTATTTATAGGCCTGCATTTCTCAGCATGCCCTCGATGAATAACCTGTTTCATGAGATCATAAATAAGTGTGCTGGGGATGCTGGGTATTGAGGAAGGAGGATAGTGCTTCTAGATTAAGTGTTATGAACAGCTATTATTGTTCGTTTTCCCTGAGCTTTGGAATGCCAGTGATGTATTTTGTGAATACAGAGAGTGAGGTTAGCATATGGCATTTCCCCAAACTTGATAGTAGACCTCTTTATCCTCTAAAAACATTTAGGGACACACTCCAAGGCACAATTCAGGGAAGTGGTATTATCTGCACTGGGGAAAGACTGGCAGATTTTAAGCTGGGACAAAGGGCATCATTGGAGTCTTAATAATTAAGAAACTGGTAGCAGTGGGTGGAATCTTACTTAGAGGACAAGGAAGAGGAGTAGGTATACCTAGAGAGGATATCGCTGGAAGTTAGGAGATAAATGAATCTGAGGTGCCAGTTGAGTAGGAATAGGCAGATTTGAGAGAGACTTAGGAGATAGATTCAGTGGAACTTTGACGATCAGGTCAGGGGTCAGGTGGTGGGAGAAGTCTAGTCCAGGTTTTGGCTTGTTAGCCAAGATTCATAGAGACAGGAATTCAGGATGGCAGACTCCTTGCAGGCTCAGTTACTGAGGAGGACTCGTGTAAAGGAGGGCCCGTTTCTGAACCCAGTAATGTATTTTGGCGTGGAGCCCTAATCTCACTTCACTTTAGGAGTCAGTATATGCTGTGCACAAAAAAAAGGTTATTTAAATAATAAAAGATTTACAACTTACTGGCTTTGTGACCCTTTTCAGTCAGGGCCTAGTCAAAATTTTGAAGCTGAGCCAGTTCAAGACCTGGTGGAAGTGGAAGAGGGCCCAGGTGTCTACCCCACAGAACCAATGCTCTGCAGTGAGTCGGAGGACGGGCGAGTGCCACACTCACTAGAGACCCTGTACCAGTCAGCCGACTGCTCTAATTCCCACGATGCCCTGATAGTGCTGATACACCTCCTGATGCTGGAGTCGGGTTACATACCTCAGGTGAGTACTCCACACTGCCAGCACACACCTTGTCAGGTGTAGGTTTTCCATGGCTAGGGGTGTTTCCATGGCTAGGGGTGTATCGACAAGCAGCACCAGGCTGTCGTGCTCTAGATTTCTGTTAAACGGTTGGACATTAAGTGGAAAACGTGGATACACAGGCTGGCAGACATGTTCACTTCCCTTTTGTTCCTCCTCCATTTCTTTGGCCGCTTTTTAGTGCTCTGGGTTTAATGACAAATACCATTAAACCCAGGAGATGAAAGATGACAAATGATAATCTGTGGACAAAACGTGGTCAGTGGATGTGGTTGGGCACGACTAGACAGCTGGCTCATTGGGTTGTTTTAGTAACTCTGGACTGCCAGTGCTTTCATAAGAGGGTCATTTAGGAAGAGGAATGCTCTTCCCCCATTCTCTGTTTGACCAGCATCTGCCAGCGTCATGCAGTGCTTCTGCTCTGCTCTCAGGGGCTTATCGTGCATGAGTGGGTGAGAGGTGCGTCTCCAGCCGATTCAACTGTATTGGCTAAACTTTAGGAGGGCCGTGTACAGAGGCCGGAGATCGGCAGAGGAGAACACAGCAGGACTCTGAGCAGACCTAGACAGATTCTGGGGACCTTCGAAGTTACAGACTGACAGAGGGAAAGATAAACAGAACTTTTTTTTTATTTTTAAAGCATCTGTAAAAGAAGTAATGTGTGAATTCTGATCTGGAATAATGATATGGTTTTTAGGTAGAAAAATAAGTCTTTGAAGAGAGAAATCAGTCCCTCTCTCTGAACATGGACCTATTTAAATGTAGATTTTGATGGAAGATAGTAGAGTGTAACATTTTTATGTCAGATTTTTTAACGATGCCAGTATTATTAACTGTTTGAAAACTTTGACTAAGGGAGTGCATGGCAACTTGCTCCTAGATACGTTGGGAGCCATTTTGGAGAGTAAGTTTTCTTCATAGTTTGTTCCCCTTTTACTTTCTTCCTCAGGGAACTGAAGCCAAAGCTGTGTCCATGCCAGAGAACTGGAAGTCGGGGGGCGTGTACAAGCTGCAGTACACGCACCCTCTCTGTGAGGACGGCTGTGCGGCGCTCACCTGCGTGCCTTTGGGGACGCTCGTTGTGGTAAACGGTAATGGAGGGAGCAGTCGTCCTGCGTTGCTGTCGAAGTGCTTTACAGCCAGTTCAGTGATGGGCCAGTGTGATATGGTTTATGAGTTTCCTAACTTTCCTTAATCCCCAGACCACTGATGAGTCTGCAGATCCTAGAACCCTGAGGGATGTTTAGACTAGATGCCTTCACTTCTGGGCCGCCGCTCTCCTTTACTGTCTTAGCACGACATGGTGACTTTCTTTTGCCCCAGCAGAGTTGTGGTAATAGGAATAGGTGGGTTGTTCCACATACCCTTTGAAGAATACCTCTTCGTAATGCCTGAGGGTGACCTTTCTATTATTTTAACGAGGGTCTTGGAACTGGGAGACAAAGAGACAGTCAAATTTTTTACCGAATTTGGCATCTCTGGGCAGTAGTACATTGACACACTGCTGAGGGATTTGATATGTTTTATGGCCCAAGAAGGTCACTTCATAGTTTTTCTTATTTTTCAGCTCTTTTTCATATTAAGAAATGCCGCTGAGACAGCCGCCCATTCTGTCTTTGCATTTCAGTTCAGGCCGGCGCCACCCCAGAGTCCATACCCGCTGCCAGCAGTCTGGAGTAGTCTCAGAACTGCAATCTGGAGGTCCAGAATAGTGGCTAGATCTTTCACTTTGTTCTGGTTTGGTTTTTTGAGGTTTCTCCTCTTCACTAAGTAAGATAGTAGGGTAAGGCTAGGATGACTGTATGTGGTGTTTTTTACTACAGCACATCTGTGTAGCAAAGACGGTCACTATGAACATGCCTTAGCTCAGCTTTCAGTAGTTTTGCAGCTACTAGCTTCGGAGCTGGAAGCAAGGAGGTGTAATAGAACCCCAACACCACTTAAACCTTGAGTAGCAACATGTTTGTTGTATTCATTGAGATTTTTAATCATAAGATTGTTTGAAAAGTGATTTTTCTGCTAAAACATATTTTATAAGCCACTGACTTAACAGTCTTGAATCCTTGAAGTAAATGATAGTTCTATATTCCTGGGTTAATCACTGGATTCTTGAAAGGTTATTTAGAAGTTTCAGAATTCCAGCTGTAACAGCTCTGGTGGTGGCCCACGTCTGCCAGGATGTGGCTTTCTGATGGCACTGGCATTATCTCTTCAGGTCAGCACATGTCACTTTAGTTGGGCGTCTCACACACAAAGGGTGTCTCATCAGTCATCACTCTGCAGGATCATTACTTGTAAAGTTCAAGTTACCAAATATTAAGCGTGAGGTTGTACTTTTGCCTCAGCTTTTTATATTGGCACTTTAACAGTATGGTGTGATAATTTAAAGATACTTACTGGAAAGTGAGTAGCTGTCAAGTGTCTCTATGAGTCCTAAAGTTTTGTGTCTTTACTATTGTTGGCAAATCTGCTACTTGCACACGTCTGTGGCAGACAGCCAGACCTAAATCTCTGGAAGGGAGCAGTTTAAGTCTTTCCTTCACCAGAGCATCTTCCAGGTGCACATGTGCACAACCACATCACTAGCTTCATCTTTTGTTCTATTTTTGTATATATGACTAAAATCGAACTCTCTGGCGATGTCGAGAATATTCATCCGTGGATCTAGAGAGAAGATGCTGTGAAAGCTAGCAGGATTCTTTTACTCAACAAGGGAAATCTCCTTGCCAAGGGTTAAAGAAATAGTACATGGGATTTTGGACACCTTGTCAGAAATGATCTTATTAACTTTTTCCTGCCAACCTTGTTGCATATCTTTTTGAGTGTTAATCGGTGCTGTTGATAATATTGAGTGGAGTTAATATAAAGGTGCTTACTATAATTCTTAAAGGTGGTGTTTTAGAGTGGTTTTACTTCATTTAATGGCATATTCACACATTGGACTTCACTCTGGAGAGAAAATAGACATTTGCCTAGTTTTGTATGATGTGTCATTTGACTATTGGGGCAAGGAAACACAAGCCCATACAGAAACAAAATGAAGACAATTGATGAAGGAACAGTTTTTGACCTTCATTCTTTTGGTTTTTACAGCTACACTAAAAATCAATAATGAGATTAGAAGTGTGAAAAGATTACAGCTGCTGCCAGAATCTTTTATTCGCAAAGAGGAACCAGGTAATGAAACTGATTTTTGGGATGAAGCTTTGAGAAGTTCATTTAAAATCTGAAAGGTAATATTCAAAAGGCTAAACATTTCTGCCTGAGAGTAAAGCAAGTTGAGGACATTGTTGCAGAGTTTTTCTGTTTCTATCTTGTTTTTTCTTAGGACCTTGAGGTGCTGAATTACAGTCATGTTGCCAGTATAGAATGACAGTAGTGTGCAGCCCATCATTCAGGGATGATGCTTCAGCTCCTGAATTAGTCATTCTATGGATCTTTCTAGCCATGTATTTGACCCATCTGGATTGGAACTGTTTTGTAATTGTGCAGTGCAAGTTCATTACTGAAAATTAATGGAGGAAAAACTTCAGAGTGTATGCTTAAATTGATATAAATGTGGTTGCTAGTTGATACAGATTGGAACTTTACCAAAAGTTTGTATTATAAGGTGTGATTTTGCTTATATTCCATAAAATTAATAGATACAAAGAAGGCAAGTGTCCCTTTGTATTTTTTCAGTTAAACTTAGCTGAAAGGCAGGCTAATAGTCAGAAGAGAAGTGATGGAGTAGAGAGGAGCTAATATCTTTTAAATGCCTGTTTTGTAGACATGTGCCTTAGTGAATGTTACTCTGTTTCATCCTTACCAGTAAGTTGAAGGGCTAAAAAGCTTTATAAAGTGGTGTGGTATGGCAGAGATGTGGTATTTACAGTTGTCTTTTAAGGGAAGGCTGTGCAGGTCTAATCTTTGCTTCGAAGGCCTAGGGACTTACTCTGTTACTTCCCACTCAAGGTTACGTCCCGAGAGACTGACTTCCTACAACTAAAACTGGGAGGAAAGGAGACGAGTGTTAACCTTTTTTTCCCCATCATCTGTTCTCCAAGGAGTCTTTCTACACATTTCCCACACTGCTCTCCCCAGGAAGTGTTCATGCCATAGATACTGTGTGTGTACGCACTATGGCCCTTTGGAAAACCAAAAACCAATTTAATCAGATTTTTTTTTGCCCTCCAAGAGCCAGTTTTGCCACATGGGGGTGTTTGTTGAGTATGCTTGAGAGAGATGGACACACCTGTCAAGCTGGCCTACACTGGGGCCAGAGAGATGAGATCCTGGGCTGCAGCACGGTGTGCTGCTCTCCGTTCTGCTGGGGAGCAGGAATACTCAGTAGCAGTAGAGATTACTGTGCCCAATGGTAGATCAGGAGCCAGGTCAAGAGGTGACTGACTTCGGGGCCTCAGAGCTCATAATGGTGGGATTTGGAATTACAGTAGATAAGACTCAAGCATATTTTCTAAAAAACTCTTATGGGGATTAGCTTGGACTCATACTTTTTATCTAGTTTGTTAAAAAGGAAGTGAGAGGGAAGTTAATATTGTTACAAGTTTATGGGCTATTTCAATGGAATAGTTTTGACATAATACTTTTTATTTTTAGTAGGAATATGCTGCTAAAGTTTAACAAGTTTAACTTTTAGTGCAGCTTGTAGTACTTAGAATGTTCTAGATAATGTACAGGTGAGACCTCTGGGGCTGTCTAAAAGCAAATTCTCATCAGGGGGCCTAAGAGCCAGTATTTCTGCACTGTTCCAGGTGTGCTCCTGCACCATACTTTGAGTGGCATTTAGTGGCTAAAAATCACTGCTGTGGACCAGTTAGAATTAGCACGTGCCCTGTCTTGCTGCTCATGGTTCTCTCCCCCCCCTTGTTCTATGTCTAAAACGGGGCCATGGCTTGTATCTCGTGATTACAGGGGAGTGACTGATTTGAAAGATAGCTTAAAAATGCTTGACGCAGTCACTGGCACCTGGTCATTGTGTGATGCGTTGTCCCCTAGCACCCGGCCACCACAGGCAGTCAGCTCCCCGTTGCGTCCGCGGTGCCAGACAGCAGATGCTCAATAAATCTTCGTGGTGTGCACGGCGGGCACACCACAGGCCCCCTCGCGTGAGGGCCTCTGAGTTTTTGAGGTCAGCGAGTGCTGGCCTGTTGACGTCCTGGGATTCCCAGTTTTGCCCTGGAGCACTGGCCTGCAGAGTCCGGGTGCTTCCTCCTCCTTGGGCGTTGGCTTGAGTCTGGACGAGCTGTGGCTATTTATTGGCAACTTTGAGTTGGTTGGCAGAAGCAGAAGGTACCATGGCAGGTTTTCTCACTTGATTTTGTACTAAATATTCTAGGGGAAGATGTAGCCAAGATATACAAAGATCTTCAGAAGCTTTCTCGCCTGTTCAAAGACCAACTGGTATACCCTCTTCTGGCTTTTACCCGACAAGGTGAGAGTTGATAAATCATCTCGGGTTGAGTAGCTAGGAAAAACAGTAAGTTTACACCCCACGCATGTGACTGAATTAGGCTCTGATGCTTTTCTCTAGTGAAATTCCAATCTTTCACAGCTAAGTTTAAATGACAATTGTTACTCCTTCTTTGTCCTGCCAGAGTATTCTGTACGTGTCTTTATGATAGCTCTTTTCCGAGTATATTAATATCGTTTATATGATGTCTTTCCACTTGAGGCTAAGGATATGTTGAAGCAGAGAATGTATCTTACTTTTGATTTTTATGTTTTACCACGGGGTCTGTAGTAGATGTTCAGCAAATGCATTGGAAGTATAATTATAGGGCAGGGAACAGTTGAGAATTATAATTTACACTAATTTCAGACTTACACAAATAGACGTGGTTTTATTTGCTATCTATGTAGAACAGTAATTTTTTAGGTCTCAGATTGCATTGTGCCAAGGCTATTATTACCACAGTTTTCTTCTTTAGTTGACAGTGAGGGAAAGGAATAAAATGAATTTAAAAACCTTTTATAGGATTTTGGTTATCTTGGCCAATGGACAGTAGTATCACAAGTATTCCAGAGGGACTAATAATTAAAACATAGTTTCCAGTTGACTTCCTTTATCCTTTCTTTTGTTTTGCTTCTGGATTTATTTACATCCCTTTTTCCAGCATAGTAAATATCAAATGATAGTGATTGTGAACATTGGAGTGCTGATATTTAGAAATTGTGAGCTTTATTTAAAAGTATGTCTTCCCACTAAGCTTTAAAAGGAATCGGGGACTTAGACGTAACGGTCGTCTAGTCATGCCGGGCTTCAAAAAATGATGTTGCTGTCAAATGTGTGGGTTCACTGCCTCTCTAGAAAGGAAGCAAATGGTGAGTTTTGTTGACGACGCAGGAGAGCCGGCGGCTCTCGGTGATGGCTGTTGTCACCCGCTCTAGCTCTGAACCTGCCGGACGTGTTCGGCTTGGTGGTGCTTCCCCTGGAGCTGAAGCTGCGCATCTTCCGACTCCTGGACGTTCGTTCCGTCCTGTCTTTGTCTGCTGTTTGCCGCGACCTCTTCATCGCTTCAAACGACCAGCTCCTTTGGAGGTGTTTATATCTGCGGGATTTTCGAGGTGATTTCCAAGATGACTCTTTTTTGCTCATGACTCAACTTGCCAAAAGGTTTCAGTTGTCTTTTTTCCTTGCGAGTTGCAGAGAGTCATAATACAGCCTTATTGTAAAGCAGTTCTAACCTTTATGTGCCTTTTCTGTGTCTTGAAGACTCCCATTCTTTGTGTTTTCTGAGACACAAATTGCTTATTAGACTAAGTTGACTATTTCAGGATAAAAAAACGGAAGACAGGTTTTTTTCTCTCTGTGGATAACCCTCAGTGTCTGACCTGGAAATCCACTGCATTTCTCACTTTCCCGAGAGGCAGATGACACAGTGAGATGAGGTTAGGGCCAGGTCAGTGCCAGGAGAGGGGAGCCACGCTTCCCTCCGTGTCCCAGAGGAGTCTGGCGTGAATGAGCCACTGAGCACAGAGCGGTGTGGTCGCCCTCAGCCATCAGGAGAGGATTTGAGTCAGGCTCTGGAGCGCGCGGATGCTATCGTGTGTTAAATGACTCATGTTCCATTTTGTGTTTAATGAGTAAGCTGCAGTTTCCTTAGGGGGAAAAAAAACAGACCCTCTGCTTAATGCGATATGAATGAACTGTTTTTAAAATCTTGGTTTTTTTTTTTTTTTTTGACTTTGTAGATGGTACTGCCAGAGTTCGAGACACAGATTGGAAAGAAGTAGGTATTATCGAGGCCAACATCCATAGAAGTAACTGATGGGTTAATACACAAAGGGCTTACTTTTACTTGATAATGGTCGAGTGAGATCTATTTATATTTATAGCTGGTTTTCAGTAAAAGAAAATGTTTTCAACTTTTTTATACTCAATCCTTATTTTCTTGTAACTAAACAGGAAAGGAATCTGACACAATGATTGTCTTTCTCATTTACTTGAAACACTCTCCCATCTGTTAGGAAAAAACGTCTAAGTGAGACGTTTGTACCAGAGCAGTCCTCCTCGTGCTCCGTGACTGGTCACGTGTTCCCTGCAGTGGCCACTAGAAGAGTCAGACACGGACAGAAGCCTAGTACTGTGCCCTAGGCCATGTCCCAGCCTCCAGGGTGGGCACCATTTGCTGTTTATTTTACTGAGGAAAGGGAAGAAAAGGAGAGACACCTGCATAGTCACAGACGGGCAGTCTTAAAGACAAGAACTGCCTGTTGGTTAAATTGACATCCACTGTGGACTTAATGAAAAAGTAAATTTAAGTGCTCACCTTAACGTAATTTACGTCAGTGCTATTCAGTAGATGTTAAAATTTTCTACTTTCAAGAAAGACTGACTTAATGTTGCTTATTAGCTTGAGAGTTTGGGGTTGCATGTCAGGGGAGAATTTATCCCTCTTTAGGATTTTTTCCTTCGCACTAGCACACCAGCTCGCTTGTAGTGTGGTTAACACTTGCACTGTGGTTAAAGAACAGCATTTCCCATGGCTTTGTTTTCAGAGCTGCTGCTGTCTTCATGCATAGAAACTGCTCAGAGTTCTTTGCTGTGCTCTGGCTTATCTGCCTGGGTGTGTGGAAGGCAGAGAGGAGAGCTATACAATGGGAGCAAAACACCAGGCCACTACACTAATGCCTTGCTCTTGTTTTCCCGCAGCTGTACCGTAAGAGGCACAAACAGAGAAAAGAAGCCCAGAGAGGACGGCACGGGATGTTCCTGCCGCCGTCGCCCCACCCCATTCCGTTCTACCCCAACCCCCTGCACCCCCGGCCCTTTCCCCCCAGTGCTCTTCTTCCTCCAGGCATCATCGGCGGTGAATACGATGAAAGAATACTTCCCTATGTTGGGGACCCAATCAACTCACTCATACCTGGGCCTGGGGGGACACCCGGCCAGTTCCCCCCACTCAGACCACGTTTTGACCCAGTTGGCCCACTTCCTGGACCGAACCCCATCTTGCCCGGGCGAGGTGGCCCCAATGACAGATTTCCCCCAAGACCTGGCAGGGGTCGGCCAAACGACAGCCGCTTACCATTCATGTGATTGACTTGTGATCTCACTCTGGGGCTTGCTATGGTTTTGGTTTTTAAAAACTACAGCTGTCATCTCATGTGGGTGCTGTTCTCTTGTGTTCCCTAACTGTGTGGCAAGAAACACACTCACAGTAGATATAGGGAACGCTCCGGGGGTGGCGTGGCCGGAGATGTCTGCAGGCCAGGGTTGGCCTTGGTAGCTGGCTACGGACTGCCCGCTCCAGTTCCCTTTGCTCACGGATAATGTTCTATACCAGATTAAAAGAATAGTGTAAATTCACAGCAGTCTTGACTTTTATTTCAGAAGATGTGAAATGAATTTCAGAACAGCTTCACAACATTACTTGGACATTTCAGAATTGTCAGAGACCATACTCATATCCTCAGTGTGGCTCTGCTATTGGGGCTCCCTCTCTTCAGAGAAACTCGTTTCAGAAGCCTGGCTTACACAGTGGATAAAAGCAGAGTGAGTAGGGTTGAACCAGCCTCTGCGGCTTTCTCATGCGCGATGGTGGAACCTGCCAGGTTCTGAAGCAGCCCTGTCTGAGGTTACAGAGCACTTGTTTCTGCTGCTTCTGGAGAGGAGGTCATTGCTTCTCCTTGTGTTTTGAACCCTTGATGCCTAATTCGTAATCTGAGTAGATGGCATCTTTTAACCATGGTCTGCTTTGCATGCTGGTCAAACACTTGTTCTTCAAAGATAACCTCTTATTATTTGAAGAACATTTGCTTTGAAGGCCGAAAATGCCCAAAAATCAAGATTTATTTTTCCTACAAGAAAAAGGCCAAACACAGATACCTCATACAAACAACTGTAGAAACATGCTCTAGTGACAAATTAAAATCCAAATCACAACACGGGAATAAAATGCTATAAGTATTTGCAGAAAATATTGAGGAATATTGCCAATGTCTTCCTGCTTCTTAAAAATCTGTTTGCATATAAGGAAATGGCTTGGAATGTTATATGCTGCAAGAATATTTTGCATCCTACGTACATGTGAAAATTTTTCTTTTTTGCTACACATTTTTTTTTCCATCACAGTGAAGAAAATTCATCAATAATGTGATTTTTTCCAGAGCCATGTCGCCTTTAGTAGCTTAATGTACAAGTAAAGGATTGGGGCTGTTGACACTTGCTTCTGGGGTGTTCTGTAATAACGGAGCAATAGGACAGCTTTGGAAAAGTGTTCACTAGATGCCCTATGACTTCTATTGGGGCTGGGCTGACGGAGCCACCCTGAAGCTTTGATGGGTTCTGAGACATCCCAGCTCTCCAACACGCCTCCATGTGGCCTTAGAATCTTGGGTGGCACCAGGTGAGGGTGTGTGGCGGGGGTGGAGGACACAGTGATAACGAGAAGCACCGAATACCATAAATACGCTTCCAAAATCTAGTCCTTCCCGAAGGGCACTGGGGTCCGCAGCGGTGCTGGTGTCACGCAGGGGCTTTCCCGCTGGACCTCGGCTCTCTGCCAGTTACCAGACCGCGTGGTTCAGGACATCGGCGGGGTGCCAACCCCTGGGTCGGCAGTCCTCACAACGGTTCTTTCTGCATTCCTAGAACAGCCCTCCGAGCTTTTCCTCTTGAATAGCCAATTTATAGTTAGAAGCTTATAAAATCCTCTATTCGTTTCATGACACTGATACTGGAGCGATATCTATTGCTGGTGTGTGATGAGAACGAATCACGGTGGGCGGCAGCTGGCCACTGGCTCCGACAGCCTGGATCTACCGTGACCGAGGCAAGGTGGCTGAGTGCCTGGAAGCATTGTTGCATAATGTTCTGTACCACTGGCTTGTTAACAACTTCCGTGTTCCCTTACTTCCCCTTTCAGTTGGTTTTGGGGTTAGTGTGCCTGTTGCAAATCAAACCACAGGAGACAGCCTCTCTTTCCAACTTAAAGTTTTGTGATCTGGTAAAAGCAGTTGAATACTATCCTTTCTCACCTCTGGCTGACTAATTCCGGAGATCACTACTTAGCCTGATAGTGCTTTTGTCCTGACACTCCCTCTGCTGCCCTTCCCTGGGGCCCAGCCCCAGGTAAGGCTCCAAACCTGTACAGTTGCCTGGGAATACACAACCTCAGACCCCAGTGCTCTGCGGGGCTGTCAACCTGCTTAACACCCTTACATACTCTCCAGGAGCCGATAAGACTCCTGGGAAGTACTAAGTAAGTCACATAATGGTTTAATCATGGCTAACATCTCTTGGGGTTCCCCAGTGGTCTAACACTGAAGTTTCTACTATGGCAGAGGAAATGTTCAGAGCAGCAAAGAAATGTTTGCTCTTGCTCTATCAATGCAAGACCATAGAGAGAAAATACTTAAAATGCAGAATTTGGAAACTGAAATGAAGTGATCATCAGAATAAACAGTAGGAAAGGCAGTTAAGATTGTAAAGAACCCGCACACATTGTATAAGAAATGTCTAGTATTTGAGAGCACTCGCAGGCTACCTTCATCGTGCCTGCCCGTCCAGAGCGCTCTGAATGCACCGCCCAAGTGTCCAATCTCATCTGCTTCAGCTGCGTGTCGTGTCTATGGCAACACGGAAGCCTCTGTGCCCTTCACGCATCCCGCGTGGTTAATGGGCCGATTGGACTTGCCTGGCGCCTGGCCTTCCGATTTGCCTCCAGCCCAAGCCATACAGTTAGAGCCTAAATATTAGACTAAAACTTTGAATTTAATCAGTGACCACTTCGGACTTACGGCCAGCTTCCGACACGTGTCTGCAGGCAGTAACCGACGTGATTGCTCTCCCCGTACACAGCAAAGTGCCCTTGGGCTGTTCCCACCACACGTGCAAAGCTGACCGAGGTCACGTAACCCCTGATGCCAGCCTGCATCCTCTCTCTCCTAAACACGTCAACGAGTGGCTGTAGTGCCAGCAGGCAGGCAAAGGAGCGCTCTGGAGCCCTGGGTGGCTTTTCAAGCATTAATGCTCTTTCTACACCAATCACTTTAGGGCAAGCCCACAGGCTGGTAAGGCAGGGAGGCTGGGGAGGGGAAGGGTGGCGGGGAGGGTCTGGCAAATCTTACTTTCTCTCCGGCGTTCCCTCACGGTCTCTTCCTCTCGTAGCGGCTGCTCTTCCTTTCGTAGCTGCTCCACCATAACCCATCTAGTCGCTGCGTGATGTCGCCCTCAACGCCCTCGGCCTCCAGGCTCAGGTGTGCCCACTTAACTCTGCCCACACCACACTCCAGGTGTCTGCCATAGAGAGCCCTGAGGCCACGCTCCTGAGCGCCTCCTGCCTACAGGGCTGCAGGAGCTAGCCCCCGAGGCCAGGATGTAAACACTGACCCATTTCACATACCCTGCAGTGGCAGGCCTGTTGTGTGAAACTGCACAAAGCAAGAGAGCTGGCCTGTCGCTGGTGCTGGAAGGACAGGGCTCTGAGGCGGCACGGCCGGGGTCTGTCTGGGTGTCTGGTCTGCGAGGGGCCCTGGGCTGCCTCTGTATGTCCTGCCTGCCCTCTGTGGCCTCTCAGATAGGCTGACGACTATGGCAGTTTCCCTCTTCCCCCCAGCCCAGCCCTACAGACAACTCACCACGAGGGGCAGCTGTCACCCGCCCCGCCCCCAAGGCCTCCTCTTCCTTTGCAGACTCAGGTAGAGAGTGCAAAAACTACCATGGAGTCTCTTCAGCCTCTTACTCATTGCACTAACCTCGCTGTTGGTTTGACTTGTTCCTGGCCAAGGGGCTTCCTCACACTGATGCACGTGGAGATTCAACAGCCTTTGTCTTCAATCTTAACACTCTGTTCACATTTTAGTAACTTCATAGTTTCCTAGGAACCTGAAACACGCCTGCACACCTACTGTGCACCAAGGTGCTCTGTGCTGCCCAGGCACAGCATTAATGCTCTGGCAGCCCCAGGCCAGCCTACTTGGCATGATGTGCACTGAGCAAAAAGGAGGAAGAGGAGTCCCTGGCAAAGCAAGACCCAGGAATCTGGCAGGGGCCGCCCTGGAGACACTGGTCCAGCAGGGTACAGAGATGGAGTAAGAGAGGCGGTTTGGGGGTCTGGGAAGAGTACCGAGCCTCCCCTCACACATGCCCATCATGCTCACTGCCGACCTCCCTCGTCTATGCCGCCAGACCCCGAGGTCTCCAGCTGCGGCTCCATGCTCACTGGCCACTGACTCCATTTGACCTTTCTTATGCCAGGTTGCCTTGTAGGTGAAGTCCAAGACCAGCGGTCTGAAGAGAGGAGAAAAGGTGCTCTTGCTCTTATACTAATTTGCTCACAAGGGAGGGAGCAGGGCAGGGTGGAGTTAGACAATCCTAATGGCCTAATGGTGTGACTCTCTGACAGCCAAGTGCAAAGCTGGAACTTTGGAATCTGAGCCAGCCTTTAGTCAATGGTCTGTGGGGAGGCCAGCTTGAAGGTCGGTTCTTCTGAGGCCAAAGAGGCTGGGTGACCCAGTGCCCTAGGACAGCATCTCTGGCCTCTTCACCCCACTCGTCTGACTCTGGAGGACCTAAGAGATGGCGACAGCTGCTATGTCCCGGGGACCTGGACACAGTCAGCTGACTACCGGGTGATCCGTATCTCTCAGGCCTCAGAAGCTGCACCAGGCCAAGCGCACGTTCATTCTCGCCTCCCATGCTCTCCCAGAGAGCAGAGGGTGAGACATACTCAAGCCACCCAGCAGGGCGTCAGGGGTTGGAGCCATGATGTCCTAACATCCTGTGCTCTCAGGGGGAGCTCCTGGCACCTGCACTGTGTCTAGCACCAGGTGCGTGGTGATTCGCGTCACCCCTGCACCCCAACTGATCACGGCAGGCAGTCTGCTAGGGGGTGAGAGCTGGCAAAGAGGAGTCCCTGGCAAAGCAAGGCCCAGGAATCTGGCAGGGGCCGCCCTGGAGACACTGGTCCAGCAGGGCACAGAGATGGAGTAAGAGAGGTGGTTTGGGGGTCTGGGAAGAGTACCGAGCCTCCCCTCACACATGCCCATCATGCTTACTGCCGACCTCCCTCGTCCATGCCGCCAGACCCAGAGGTCTCCAGCTGCGGCTCCATGCTCACTGGTTGACAGAGGGAGTCAACTCCTCACAACCGCTCACCTATCCAGCTCTGCAGTTAACTTGTCCAGTCAGTGAAGTTTGGGTTCAACCAAGTCAAAGCTAATTTCTTTAAGCCTCTGCCATGGCGAGGTGAATTACCAAGCTCAAAGTAAGAAACCAAAGCTGTGTTTCTTAGACACCTCTGACCACGGGTAACTGGGTGACCCAGGCCACGCTTTGCAGGGTGTCGCGATCTGCTGGTTCTCTCTGGCTTCCCCTATGGGCTGGAGGAGGAAACGCGCCTGGTGGGATCCGGAGTGTGTACAGAGGGCCAGCTGCCAGAGCTGGTGTCTTCCTCGTTATGAATCCTGAAAGGACCGGGGTTGGTTCTTGACAGTCCAATGTAGGGTCACGCTGTGGGCGTGGGGGCTTTGCAAGGATCTCCTGGTCCCCCGTCACACCAGTTCTGGTTTCTGATGTTGTCCTTAACTTGCCATGGTGGTCAGACGTGATGGGCCTCTGTTGGCCTGGCCTGTGGGGTGTCCCCCGCGGTCTGGATGGAAGTGGCCACGGCAGGAGCTTCTCTTAGTGTGACAAACACCGCAAAAGGTCATTGCCTCCTGTATTCTGAGGTCCGACCACATTTTGTCCGCATTTGATGGAGGTGGGGCGTGGCCCACAGGGGCCCTTCACCAGAGGCAAGCAGAACAAGACTAAGAAAGGAGAAAACTGGTCACGCACAACATCGCACTGGAATATCTGAGGCAGGGAAGCAAGCACACGGAAGGGCAGAGTGGCAGGCACCGTCTTCAGGGCCCCCACGAGTCAGATGGCGCCGCAGGTCATGGTCAGGGAAGGGGGGACGCGCAGCGGTGCCGTTTCTGGAGCAGAGGCATTCAGACTGTGTTTCAGGCGCTCAGTTCTGTTCCCACCTGGAACTGAATTTGAGAAGGAAGTTGAGGCGGGAGACAGGCCAGGGTAGTGGGGGCGCCTCCGCCCCCAGCTCTGACGGCGCTAGTCAGAGAAGAGGCTGGCGAAGGACTTCCTCAGGTTGCGGATGGTTTCGGCCTTGGCCTCGTCCTCACTTGGGGTCCCGCGCTGGGAAGTGTCAGATGTGCTGAGGCTGTTGGTCAGGGACTGGGATTTGCTGCAACAGAGAGGCAGAGGGGGTTGAGACAACGAGGCCTGGGCTCCCGAGGAAGCGCGTCAGGGATTTGCCTGGAAGCTGGCTGGCTGAGCCCCATCGCCACCGGGAGGGTCAGAAGACCCCTTCACTTAAAGGCCCACGTGGCTGCACCTGCAGTGGGTACAGGCTTTGGAGCACCTGAGGCTCGCTGTTTGCAAGCCAGGCTGCTCTGGGGGCGAGGTCACCGGAGAGTGGCCTCTGCACAAACATGTCCAGCTCTGGGAATCAGGAGGCCTGGGTGCTGGCTCCTCTCCCCTCCTCCTCTGCATCACCCTCTGGCCTCCTCTAAGCTCTATGATTCAGAGCTTCAATTCCTACATTTCCCCCGAAGCCTTTAGAGCCCCAGTCCCTGTGGGAACCTCACAGTGCCAGCTGTGTGAAGAGTGTGGCAGCCTGCAGCAGTCACTTTGTGCTGCCTAGGGCTGGGTGCACCTGCCCTCAAGGGGCTCACAGTCTAGTGGAGGCAACAGGCATAGGAAGAAATGATGTGGACAGTCACAAGCTTACCAGTCTGCACATGGTTGTCAGCGTTAGAAAAATCTGAAACCCTCTTTCTTCAAAACAGGGACGTTTTACCCTTGCTAGTTCCACACAGGACTGCGAACTCAGCCTCACCCTTGCAGTAACCCCATGGGGTAAGGCCTATTGTCCCTGTTTTGCAATGAGGCATAGAGAGGTTCAGTAGTTTTGCTGAGGCATGCAGCTTCGAAGTACAAGAGTTGAAAGTCAGCTCATCTGACTTTAGAGTCTGTGCTGTTAACCACTGTGCCCAATTTCCTGGAGGCCAGTTGCTAAGAGCTATCAAAATAAAAATGCATTTACCCTCTGATTGACCCGTAGCATTTCAGGTGTTTTCTCTATACCTGATCCTGCATGAGTAAGAAACAACATATCTTCAGGGCAATTCATTGCAGCCTTTTTTGTGAGGCCACTAGAAAGACCATGATTTTTATGGTGGATTCGTTAAATAAATGATGGTATAATGAAATGGTGGAATACCACATTGCCATGAAAAGAACATTTCAGTAAAATAAATGGAAGCGTCCCAGAACTTGTTAAATGTCAAAAGCCAGGGGAAGAACGGCATGAAGAGTGAATACTACCATCTGTGTAAAAAGGTGGGGGAGAAATTAGAATATAGTTTTGTATTTGTATTAGGAATACAGTGCTGAAGGAACATACCAAAAACGGACACAAAAGCGGTCCCCTTGGGGAAGCAGAGGGCAAGGAGTAGGGAAGCTGATAGCAGCGAAGCTATCTTGGTCTTTCTAATGAGCATGACGCAGGAGTTAGGTTTTGCAGTTACACCTTTGATGTTGCTGATAACTTTTAGATGTGTGAACATGCGAAGGTACCTATTCAAAGAAAGTTCTGGTTAGCATGCTCTGTGGGCTGGATGTCTGCAGCCCTGACCCTGAATCAGCCCAGCCCCCTCCATACCCCGACACCACCCAGTATCACTCAGGTCCCGACCCCCACAGCACTTACTTGAGTTGGGGGTGGGGCGGGGCTGGCTTCGTGGACTCTTCGCCCTGTTGGGAGGTGCTGCGGCCTTGCATAGAGGGCCTGGGCTGAGAGGTGAGGGTGGCGCCCGGCTTGGAGGCCTGGTTTGGAGAGCTGCCACCGGATGCCCGGGACAGCTGCGGAGAGCCTGGGGATCTCTGCTGCTGGGGAGACCCAGACGAGGGGCTCAAGGGCTGCTGGCCTTGAGGGGAGAGCCTCTGTTGAGAGGGGCTTCCAGATCTTGGGGCCTGAGGAGACTGAGCTTGGCGAGGGCCCCCTGCAGGATGCAAAATGATCACATTCACATTTTAGGACAAATTTGGTACAGAAATGTCACTTTAAGGATGTTCATTACAGATTTTTTTTTATAACAGCGAAAACAATATAAATGCCTAACTACGGGGGATTTTTAGGAATCCTAAGATTTTCTTATGATGCTATAAGCTGTGGAAGGATGTGGCAGAATAATATTAAATGACAAGGGATATTATTGATAATATGCTGGCATATTTATATGTTAAATATAGATATCTTACACATACGTAGCATCTGTGATATATGCTAAATATAGACAGCTCTCTATAAAAGGCATGTTTATAAGACAGTGCACATGGTTTTATTTCCTCATGATATGAATGCATGAAGTTAAACCAAAAAAGTCTGGAAGGTCATGCACTAAAACCAGCGCTCTCCACTTTCACTTAACGTGCATATGAATCACTGGGGGCGCTTGTTACAAAGATTCTTTTTTTAAAAGATATTTATGCACACAAGAACTGGGATAAAGGCCCGAGGTGTGGGATGCGGGTGAGGGGATGGTGAGAGGGTTCACCGGACAGAGTGGGGAGCAGAACAGACAGACTGACAAAGCACACTGCTGAGGGGAGCAGCGGGCGGGCCAGGAGAGATCTGCCGCGCCGTGTGGGTCACTTCCCGGGCGGGGATCATACTCCTGCTACAGTGATTGTCGACAGCTTCATGGTGCTGTGGTCTGGCCCCTTGAACCACCAGGGAGAGCCCAATGTTACAATAAGGATTCTCATAAAGTAAGTCTGGCTTGGCACTATCAGCTGACTTTTTTTTTATGTGAATTAATTTTTTTATTATATTAGTTTATTTTTACATATTTTGTGCTTTTTTCCATCTCAACTGCAATCCCCTTGGGCTTCCCATCACCAAATCACCCGTGTGCCATCACCATAGTCCAGTGCATTTCCCTCTCCATCAACTGACTTGTATTCCCTTTCTGACCCCCAAATTTGTTTGTACAAGTCCTAACCCCCCATGTGACCATATGTGGAGAAACCCTTAAAGGGGTAAGTATTCTCGAATGAGGTCAAAGGCGGGGCCCTAATCCACCAGGACCGTGTCCTTGTAAGAGAGAGATGCCAGGGGCCATGCACACGGAGCAGGGCCGTGGGAAGACACAGCCGGGACGAGTTCTCAGCAACCAGGGAGAGACATTTCCCCAGAAACCAGCCCTGCCAGCACCTTGAGCTTGCACTCCCCGTCTCCAGAACTGTGGGAAAATAAGTGGCTGCTGTTGAAGCCCCAGGCTGTGGTATTTTGCCAGGGCAACCTCACCAGCAAGAGAACTAATGCAGCTGTGCCGCCTGTGACTATGCAGGCGACTCTCTTCCGTTCTCCTTTTCCTAATAAACCTGCTTTATTTTTTAATTAATTAATTAATTAATTAATTTATTGTTTAAAGATTTATTTATTTGTGCATACAGAACTGGGGTACAGGCCAGAGGCTCAGGGGCGGTGAGAGGCTTCACCAGAGACAGAGTGGGGAGCAGAACAGGCAGATCGACGAAGTACACTGCTGAGGGGAGCAGCGGGGGGGTCAGGAGAGGTCTGCCGCGCCCTGTGGTCACCTCCGGGGCAGGCGGGGATCGAACTCATGCGGAAGTGGCTTTAGCTTCTTAGTGCTGTGTTTTAACCCGCTGCGCCACCAGGGAGGGCCTATTTTTAACGATTTGTTTATGCATTCAGAACTGGGGTACAGGCCAGAGGTGTGGGGGATGGGTGGGTGGGAGGCTTCACCAGAGACCAAGTGGGGAGCAGAACAGGCAGGCTGACAAAGCACACTGCTAGGGGAGCAGCGGGTGAGACAGGAGAGCCAAGTCAGCTCCAGAGCCGGGTTCCAACTCCTACTGAAGCGGCCTCAGCTTGGCTTAGCTTCTCAGTGCAGCGCTCCAACCCGCTGCGCCACCAGGGAGAGCCCTAAACCTTCTTTTTAAAATGTAAAAATGGAAAAGGTAACTGTTGTCTAAATAAGCCTGTGAGTCTGCATTGTCGAGAAGACCGAGCTCCCAGGTGAGGCGAAGCGTGGCTCCTGCTCACTACCCAAAGCGGAGCGCCCCATTCCACTCTCTTCTTTGGCTTGTGGATGTTTCCCACACTAAAGATACTGGTTTGTCACTGAACTAGCCCTCAGCCTCCCCTACTTCCTCCCCAGCTCCAGCCCCTTTTTCTAAGTCAGACTGAGTTATCCCTCTGTGACCCACTGCTCTTGACTTGGATTCCTTCTCTGCCTTTTCCATGACCTTATGTCCTCTAGATTGGGAGATTGATCTCAAATCTAAACAGCTAAGGGACCAGAGAGGAAATGAGTCAATAAAGCAGGTGAGTGTCAAAAAAAATCACGGGGCTTTAATATTTTTTCCACTCAATATAAAGACGTCCAGAAGTACATTTCTCTCAAGGGGGAAGAGCGGGAAGATCGCACCTGACTGCCTCTGTGGAAGCCACAGTAGGGATTAGAGTCCAGGGCACCATGGAAGCAGCTGTTCTAAATGTCAGTGAGCGAGCGATGGAGGGACCTCGGTCACTGCTTTGAGAGCTTCTGCTCTAGAAGAGAAGCTAGAAATCGACGTTCAAGTAAAAGCTTGATTTTTAAATGTAGGTGTACTTTTTTTTGTTTGGTTTTTTTTTTTGGTTTTTAAACCCATCGCCGGTTAATGAAAACATCTGTTTTCTAATTTCATCTCAAGTCTTCCTCCCCTACTCCCTCCACCCCCTAGCATGGATAATATCTTAGAAACTTGGATAATTTCTTTCTCATTCACTTTTTAACTATTTGTTGAGTCCCTGTTATACATCTGGGGTTTATCAGGAGACACTCGAGTTATTTCTCTCTTGGCAAAACAAAGCAAATAGTTTAGTACTTTTATTTTATTTGAACACATACAGAAAATGTTACTGATATAACTTTGTGTGTGTGTGTGTGTATAGTATTTACCTCAGGACAGGACTGGTGCTAAAAAAGATCAGGTTTACTAAAAGAAAATTTCACTTTTATGGAGACGAACATGAGCATGAGTTAAAAATTCAGTTATTCATGTGACTTGTTATTTTAGAAACTCAAGGAAAGCATTATTTTTTAAAATTAGTTTGACATTTTTAATCTGAGTGTTAATTCAACAGGCATGATCATTAATTTTCTTAATTAGCTTAAACTGATTGTTTTTCAACTCTCCAAAAGTGTGTTGAGCCTTGTATTCCTTAAAATAATCTCTCTTTATCGAGCATGTCTCTACTTTGGACCAGAGCGCAAAGCAGAATACAGTAGCTCTTTGTTTTAAAAATGTTCTGCTCAAATGTGTTTGAAAAAGTCAGTCCGGGGGCAGAGTGGGAATGGACAGGGCAGGGCCGAAGCACAGCCAGGAGCATTAGGGTGAGGCATTAGTCATTTTGAACAGGTATATTATTATTGCCAGGCAGGAGGACAGGGCGCTAAATTAGTTCTATGGGTCGTTAAGGATATTACTCATTAAGAACATGCTGCTCAGACAAGTTATGAATAGTAAGTTACGAACAGCAAGAGTTACAGAATGGTAATTAACAGGAAATTAATAGGATTAAGTACTAACACCTGCGAGCAGCACCGCCATGCTAGGCACCTTCCTAACCGCAGGACCTGCCTCATCTCAGGGGCAGCTCCCCGTAACTAAAATCAGCTGTTATTTCCTCCCGAATCTTGGGGGACACCGAGGCTGGGAGAAGCAGCCCTCCCTGCACAGGGAGGGAGCCCCCGACCTGGATTTAAATGCACGCTCTGCCTGAAGAAGAACCCCAGTGTTCATTTATACACACGTGTCAAAGTTGGGCTCTTTCCTCTTTCTCAAATGCTTTCTGCTGTTCCCCAAAGAAAGGCGCAGACCAGAAAGATGAATGGGGCGTTTTATGGAAGGTTGTGCGAGCGGAAGCGTTCAGTGCCCAAGGCCGATTTTCCCAAGAAGTGATGAATCTGTAACTTGAGTAAAAGGAACGGGGAAGGCCACACCGTGATAGGGCTGCTTTCTTTCAGGTCGTTTTTTGAAGCCCATTCTCAAAAGGTCACCGTGAAACTGCCTGGCCTGGCTTCTCACGGCGGAGCACCCCTGAAGCGCCAGGCTGTCCCCACCACAGCCGAGCAGGGCACAGTGGACACAGTCGCCTGCACATGAGAGAGCCCGTCTACCTGGCTGCTCACGTCCCCAGAGAGGTCATCATTGCCATGATTTCTTTTCATCTGCGCGTCCACAGCCTCTCCATTTCTGAGCAAGTGACACTTACATGGTAATGCCATGACCCTCCCTGGTGGCGCAATGGGTTCGGACGCAGCACTGCAAACTGGCCGCAGCTGCTTCGGTGTGAGTTCAATCCCTGGCCCCGGAGGTGACCCACATGGCACAGCAGACCTCTCCTGTCTCCCCGCTGCTCCCTCAGCAGTGTACTTCGTGGGTCGGCCTGTTCTGCTCCCCACTCTG